GGAAATAGTCGGTAAATTAATGATGGAAGTTAATCGCGTCGCATGTAAAATCACATAATTTCATTGGTGAAATTCATGAAATTGATTGCAGGGGTCAACTACCATTTTGCGCCAGAGATCAAAATCACCGATTTCTACTAATTTTGACCCTGATTCAAATATGATAAATGTTTCATTGTTATATTATATTAAGGTGATCAAATTTCCCAGCCCTGAATTCGGACACTTCATAAATGTATGAAGCAGGGGGAGGGTGATAAAAAGATCCGAAAATTATTTGACAATCATTGAAAATGGTGGCAAATCGGTGTCCCGAATAGCACTCGAAAAAATTCGAAACAAAGGGTGAAAAATCGGGATCAGTCTGGTCACCTTAGCTGTACGTGTCGAGCAGGGAGGAGATTACTCTGTAATAATGTACCATCCCAGATAGCACAAAATCTTCAGAGAATGTTCTAGAACGTTCTTAAGATGTATGAATATCATTAGAAAGTCTTTAGAACGTCCTTTGAAGATTTGTGCTGTATGGGATAGATACATATCGTAAATATGTCCTGACGACCGCACGTCGTTGTTTTCGGCACTCTAATATTTATCTCCGCATGAGACTCACAGGATACAAGCGAAAGACGTATGGAATACAAAGCGTTGTGTCCATGGCAGTTGCTCGGTATGAAAAGATCGCAGACACGCGCGCTATCAATCACTTACACCAAAAGTTCATTAGCGCGCCGAAAGTGCCAAAGGTGCATGAATGTGAACGCGCCAGTGATGCGAACGAGGTCGCGCGTCTATAACGACGCTATCTCTACGGCGGACGCTCTAACTAGTTGCTCGAGTTACTAATCTTTCTAGACCAATCGCGTTCGTTTCGCACTACGAGGTTGTCATCGTGCTTATTCAATCTAGGCGTTGGTAATGAATCGCGCGAAATGCTCGATCTTTTCGCGCCAAGCAGCAGCCATGGGCACACATCGATCCATATCGCTCCGCGTTTCTCGCGTCTTTTATCCGTTGAAAGTGCGTCTCTCGCGTTAATAAGTCTCGGGAATGTCGAGAATAGCGATGTGCGATCGTCGGGGCGTATCGTGAAGACGTCATTTGTAAGTAATCTTCTCGTTTCTCCTCGCTGTATATGCGGCCGGCTTGTCGCGATGTGTCGCGCCGATGTTCCTGAAGCCTGATCTACAATATGTTCTTTGCTTCCTGCTTCTTTCTCTTTATCTCTTTTTGACTCAAACCTTAAGCTTTAAGCCAGAAAAAGATAGAAGACAAGAAACAGAACGCAAAGAGCATATTGTAGATCAGGCTTTACATTTGCTAAAAACATCGACTCGCTCAAGTAGCAATAGAATCGGGCGATTGTCGGATTTATTGAACGAGAATTAGAAATGCGATGACAATCAGAGAGAAAGAGAGAGATGCGGAATATTCGGGCGATTGCGTCGCTTGTTGGAAAAAGAGATACGGAAAGAGAAGTATCTCATAGAACGTGTTCTTTTCGGCCGCGGCGCCGTTCACATATTAGCTGCGTTCGGTATTGTAAATCGAAGACATCGGATTGCTCTTTCACCTCGAAGATGCATAGAAATGAAAAAGATACGAGATCTCGTATCTCTCTCACTTCTGTACATTTTCGAGGTAAAAGAGCAATCCGACGTCTTTGATTTACAATGCCGAACGCAGCTATTGGCGTATGTTTTCAGCGCGATTCAACAATCGCGCGATCATCTTGATTCTCGATCTTTCTGCATCGAGCAGTCGCTGTGGACACATCGATCGACATCGCTTCGCATTTTACCCGTCTTTAACTCGTTGAAAGTAAGTCTCACGCAGAAATAAGTATCGGGAGTGTCGAGAATAGCGATGTGTGATTGCCGGGGCGTATCGTGAAGACATCATTTGTAAGTAATCTTTTCGTTTCTCCTTGCGGTATATGTAAGGTGACCAGATTTCCCAGCCCTGAATTTGGGACACTTCATAAATATGTGAAGCAGGGGAGAGGGATAAAAAGATCCGAAAACTATAATCATTGAAAATGATGACAAATCGGTGTCCCGAATAGCACTCGAAGAAATTCGGGACAAAGAGTGAAAAATCGAAACGTCTGGTCACCTTAATTATATATAATTCAAAACTGTTTTTTTCTCAAAAACTATTACAAATTGAATGTTTTTATTGTTATTTTCTCGTTAAAAAAGTTCGAATTGTGCGAAAAGTGCACTAAAAGTGCTCGTCGTGAGCAGACAGTTAAAAATTGTTGGTCAGTATTATTATAATCAGTGCATAATCAAGCTCGATTAATAATTAATTTGGCTAGTCAATGAAATTATTTCACTTTACACACTTATTAAAATTATTCGATAAATTATCCGATAAAAGTATCCGATCAGGAAATATCCAATGAGAAATATCGATTTATAATTTTTTGACCGGTTTATTTGATGAAATGTCATTATGATCGGAAGTATTCGATTAAATTTAATCGGGTGTTCTGATCGGATATAAAAATTCATCGATATTTTTATCGAAAATATCCGTTTGTTAATTTCTTATCGAACAATTTCTCTCAATGCGTATGACGGTTGATTCTTTTTCATTATTGACTTGTCGATTACTTTGATCGAAGGTAATTTTAATCGACTGATGCCCAACACTTATGACTATTCAGCATTAATTCTCTATGTCATTTTTTAAACGTACGTCGAGTGAATTACGCGCGTATAATGCGAAGTGCTTGGAAAAGAATGCATTCGAAGAGAATGATGCAATGAAAATTGATTACGTTGTACGGTTTTCACTTGAATCTTTGTCTCGAATGTCGAAAGAATCACCGCGGCTTAATATTAACGTCTTAATAACGCGCTTAACGAGCTTCATTAACATTAACGAGTTTTAACGCACGCTCTTCTGCCTCATGACCGTAAGAGAAAAGCAATTGGTCCCGTACTTGCGAAATGATCGGACATCGGAAATTTTTCGGCGAGAACGTCGATCACATATATATACACATATGCAGGGCGTTTCTGGACTTCTCAGAAAAACTTCTGGAGTGAGTTCTTCGTATCGCAATAATCAAAAAAGTTCATACGAACCTATGTCCGGAAATGCATGGGATGAAAGTTGTCACTGAAAAAGATTAGATTCAACAATATTTTGAGTTAACTGAATCTCCCATAGAAATTTTCTTTGGATCCAATTGATATCCAATTCTTGAAATAATTAAAAGTTCTGTTTTCTGGAATGTAATTGGAATCTTCACTGCGATCTCTCAAAAATATAATGGGTTCAAATTAGAAAATCTACGAAAATTTGGATTATAAATGTAAAGTTTATTTGGGAATGTTTAGGAAACTTCCATACACACGAGCATTACCGACTGAAAAAAGCGTGAGTCCCATAGATTTTCTGTTTCGATTCTAGACAGAGAACTTATGTTTGGGGGACAAGAAGAGGATTTCCAATTTGTATCGTAAAATAGAATAATTAATTTTGGAACAAATTTGGAGATTGTAATCGGAATCTGTGCTGAAAATCTGGGAAGAAAATTTTGAGAAATTGCTAAGAAGGATCTGACCAATATCAAATCACAAGTAAAAGATCCTAGGAGAGTTACGAGTGGTTTCACAAGCTTCAAGAATACAAAAATAGGATGTCGCTGTCCATGATCCGACGTGGCATTGCCTGCATTCAATCAGACGGTGGACGATGCTTTGAGCATTTCTTGCAAACTATAACTTGATATTGGTCAGATTTTGTCAATTTCAATTTTTGTCGTTAAATCTGATCTTTCAGTGTGTGATATCTCTCATGTCACGCATTCTCCGACACAAGTCATCTCTATGAAATCTCTCTTTATTCTGACGTGAAGAATTCGTTCTAGAAGTTTATCAAAGGAATTTAGACGCACTCTGTATACACATATATAGGGGAACCTGGGGCATAACGGGACCACGGGGCATAATGAGATATGGTCGATAACTTTTTACAAAGATGCTGCCGTGTAATGAAATGTTTTGCAATTATTACTGTTAGATGTCTCTTGTCGCGTATTGTTATCAGTTGTATGTTACTTCTAGCTGAAAGGTGCCACAAATTGTTTAATGCATTTGCTGCGCTTTCCGCAACTGCGTTGCAATTTGTTTGGTACATTTGCACAAAATAAACAGTGATAAGATTCTTCTTTTTGTTACCGTATGTATAACGATTATTAGACGATCTTTTCTCGACATTTTAATTAAATATCTGTGCAAATATCAACTACCTATGATATTTTGTACTACATAATACAAACTTATATATTTCGGGATATAACAAGATTATGCCATTTTACTCTTAAGATAAATAATGCAATGTTAAGTTGCTTATCATGTATTCCGAAAAACTGATACCAAAAATTAAGACTAAAGATTAAGACTAAACAATAATTATTATTAATATTTTAACAAGAAAAGAGTCTAGTTTTATCGTCTTATAAGAAAAATGTTATTAATAAGTAATTATAAGTAACTAAACGTGCAATAATACATTTTTATATATATTACATGATAATTTAATGAGTCATTTTTAAAAACTTTTTAAAATCAATGATTGGGAAATAAACAAATTTTGCGTATTCCATTTTGCCCCGCGTGGCATGAAATATAATAAATATAATGATAATGAAGTTAATTCACGCTTTCAAAACGATAATTTTGTCCTTTCAAACTAGTCTTTCACAATAAAACTTTGTGTTCCTCTTATAGCGGATAGGCCGAAGAATATTTTGGTGCAAAACCAAGTTGAGATTTCTTTATTTTCGATATGTTTAAATCGAAACTTGTTTAAATCTTAGAGCGTTATGGCCCGGGTCCCCCTACGTTCATTAACCCAAGGCGAGCAACGCAATCGTAGACAACAGCGTGCATAACGCGCGCAAACAGCGGGTCTTCTCGCGTACGAACGACGGGATTATTCGCGCGGCATCCAAAGTGTTAAATCACGTTAATTTGTCGAGACAGATGAGCCGCTCGAGCAGTTAGCGATCGCGTCTCAAGATCGATCGTCCACCTAATTCACTACTGCCAGGACTTGAAGAGGAAGCTCGACGAGAGGAGGCCGACGAGAGTCGCCCATCCGACGAGGAGATCGAGTGCGCCCCTTCTGGTTCCGGTCGCGCCGCCGTTCATGCAAGTTTCCCGAATGCTGACGATCTTCAGGCTACGGCGGCCCAGCAGATTGTGAACGCCTCGTTTGTCGCTCTTCTGCAGAGTATGCTCCCGCGACAGTAGGAGCGAGTAGAGCTGAATGTTCCCGGGATTCCGGGAACAGAAAGTCAACACCATGTCCGAGGCCACAGCCTTCATTACGTGCACGGTTCCCACGAACTGGTTGTAGTTCTTCTCCGCCAGGGTACCTGCCAATTAAATCAGCAGCTGGTTAAAAAGCGCGCCGCCACGTCACAGCTTGTGCAGAGCCTGCTAACAAATTTCCGCTTTTCGAATCCATCGAGCAGAATCTCTCGCGCGAATGGAAGCTCGTACAAGAAAGGAGAAATGAACGTGTCATCGATGTCGACGGCGCGTTTATCTTCATTTTGGCCCGGTGCTCTTTGTGTTTTCTCTCTTTTCTGTATTTTTTTTTTTTTTTATGAAATACACGAATATTCTCATATATGCGCGAGAAATAGACGGAAATTCTCGAAATGAATGTCTGCATTTTATTTAACATCGATATTTCCAATAAAAAATATAAGTTGGTCCTGTCAATGTCCTGTCGCGCAAGATATTGGACGCGATGATTTGAATTTAACCTTTTCCAAGTAATACACGTCAATTTTTATCTTCATCTTTTGCACTTAGATTCAGGCCCGATTCAGGAACAAAAGATGATAATTTATGCTAAGAAAAATAATTTAATATTGTTTAGATCACTTGTATAAGATGTTATACTTTAAACGATATAAGAAAGTATTGTACAATATCTTGCAAACACAACGCATTTTTGAAAAAAATTTTCAAACAAAAGTTGTTTGATTTTAAGGGATATAATGAAAGATGATGATCTTTAATTAACCTTGAGAGTCTTCCCTAAAGTCACGATAAGGTCGCTTGAAATTATTTGAATATTGAGCTATTTATTTAACATAAATTATCATCTTTCAGATTCCTGAATCAGATCCCAAAAGATGAAAAAAATTAGCGTGCAAATATCACTTGCAAAAGATTATTTTCAAGAAGGAAGATGAAATTGTTCGACGGCGTAATGTTTATGATAAACAGTTGTCAGACTTCCAACTGTTCAATCACTCGCTATGTCGAAACGATTCTTTATCTCGCGAACAACATTCTTAATATTAATTATTTCCCTTTACCAATGATCGGCGTAATAATATCGCCGCTTCTCGTTAATTTACATATAAAAACGTAGTTAAACGTAAACTGCGTATAAGAAATTAAATCTATATCTATAGAGAACCAATGAAAAGAGCTAACAAATACACACATCGCAAATTGAATTTATTTACCGCATATTTAGTGCATCAAACTTGAATTGAACATTGAAGTAATCAGTGGAAATCAGCATAGCAGTAAACGTGTGTTAAATTCTCTGGACCTTATAAAAAACTTTAAGCAAAAGATGCTGCATTAGCCAGAATTCAAACTTAGATTTCTCTTTAGCTGCTGTGTCGGGCACAATCCCGCACAGTGGGGTCAAATAAAATTTCATGTCTTAAAATAATCTCGAAATTTGAATGCCGATTTCGATGCTTTTTTTTTCAAATAAAAACTAATGAAACTTAGAACAACTTTATAGAGTCAGATTTTTGTCTTCTGCTTTCCTTCTTCTAAATAAGACATAAAGAAGAGGAAGTTGGATTTTTACTTAATTTAATTGTTTTTATTTACTAAAATTAGGTATTATTTCAATTACATTCGTTTGTTAAGTTAAAGTAAGATTTAGTGAGACTATGTCAGTCTATATGACATTTTACAAGCTTACAATCAAGGTTTAAACATATAATTTCAATATCAATATCTGTATGTGCCTGATGTTAAATTAGGTGAGATGTGAATAGGAATACAACGATAATTTGATAATATCGAAATATTTCGATATTAATTATTAATGACCATTAAAATATTATTCGATATTAAATATTAACAAGATATCGCATATCTTGCATACCTTGTTCAAATCTTGATTATAAGCTTGTAAAATATCATACAGACATAGTCTCACTAAATCTTACTTTAACTTAACAAACGAAATTAATTGAAATAATACCTAATTTTAGTAAATATGAAATAAGATATGAAATGAGTTATTTAATAATTGATTTAAAAATAATTTTCATCTTCTTTATGTCTGACTTGGAAGAAGAGAAACGCAAGACAAAAATCTAGCTCAACAAAGTTATCCAGAATTTCATTAGCTTTTATTAAAAAAAAAGTTTTGAAATTGGTTCATATTTCGAAGCTGTAGCCTATTTTGAAACATAAAATTTCATTTGACTTTACTACGCACCGTACCAGTGCAGCTACCGAGGCTTTAACAATGTTCCACGTAACACTATTGTACAGTGTTCGACGATATGTAAGGAAATATTGTTGCACATGTAGGTTAGGTCAAATTGATGAAAAAAAATGCTGTATCATTTTTAACCGATTTCAAAAAAGGAAATTCTCAGTTTATTCTGTATGTAGGTTTGTTTGTATATTTCCTCATAACTCTCTAGAACCGTTAAAAATATTCAGATGGAACTTGTTCAATATGTTGTCTACGTGGTTTTTAAATTAAAATTAATATCATTTTCCTCGTGTTTTTTCAGATAATCTGTAGTAACTAGGTAATTCCATTACTTTTTTGAAAATCCGAAAATATCTAGAGATATAAGACGAAATTTTTAATTTTAACCAAGCCCAAAAAAGAGAAAACTTTTGAAAAATGACTCTAAAACATATTTTTTAGTAAATAATTGAAAAATACGAAATAAAAACTTGGAAAAAATAAACTACCTACAAAAATGTCAAAAGGCGTCAGAAGTATAAAATAATGTTGTACCAATATCCTTATGTGTCTATATAATCCTATCCTAATATTTTAACGAAATTAGAAGTTGATGCAAAAAAAGACAAACTAAATAAATAACTAAGTGAGTAACTAACTACATATAACTATAAGGAAATAAATAATAAAAGATGGTATAATTATTGATTCAATGAGTCAAATTTTCGCGCTAACTTCTAATATCTTTAGTTAGAATATTAGAATAGGATTGTATAGGTATATATAAGAATTTTAATTCAAAATTATCTCATACTTTTTAGGAATTTCTGAAGTTCTTGTAAATAATTACGTAAATTTTTAAGTTCTTAGTAGAAGAAGATTAGGAAATAATCACGCGTGATTGTTTTGCCAATATTTCTTAATTAATAACTTAAAAATATATGTGATTCTTTGCAGAATGGTAGAGTACTTTTTTGTTTAGTTTGACTTAAACAACATGTGTACGAGTGTTTTCCCATCTATCGTCAGGAACTCCGCATAAGTGACAGAATCTAACAACGCTATTCTCTCTTCAGGTAGTATGTTGTAAACAAAGAAAGATGTTGAAAAGACTTTGAATGTAAACAACCAGTAAGAAATATAGGCTAGTAAATAGTTTTTTTAATTTATGTCATTTTTTATTTGTATGTTTTTAAATCATTATTCGTTTTGGTTAATGTGGGCTCGATGTGTTGTTTTGTTCGTTTGCACTTTTACATTTAAAGAGGGGGAGGGGGCGGGGAGGAGGGAAAGGAGTGGTACATTGTACGATGGACTCCTCTGAGTCGAGTTAATCTTCTTACGGTATTTGTAAAACGATCAAATAGTCCCGGCGAGTACGAGTGTAACGATAAAAGCTGATGTGAGTGGCACGAAATTAAAAAGAAAGTCAAGCGTTTCCTCTAGAAATTCTCGCGGTGAGTAACAAATAGCGCGCGATATACCATTGTATTTGTAGTATCATTTATCACGGGCCTGGCACTTTTATCCGAACGCATTTAATGGACTAAGTCGCGGCTTTGACAAATGTAAGTTTCAACCACTTCGCCGGACCTTCCACCCACAGTGGGGTACAAAGCTCAAGCCGTGCGAGGAAACGTGTGTTTAATCTACGCAAAATAACTAATGGCTTCTGACCGGGATAGTCGATCGCACGAACTTGGGAGCTCGTTTTTCGTAATGTTAAAACCTCCTCCTCCATTCCATCGGACGGATGGAATCCTACATAAAACTTCGTGGTATCTAATCGGGATCTCGTTCGTTTTTCTAAAAAAAAGTTATAGACTCCACTTGAAAATATTATGGAAAATCAAGTTGAACTATTTCAAACATATGAACCTAAGTAAAAAAAAAGACAGATATTTGATTTGCTAAATGTTTTTCCTAAGATACTTTTTAACTTTTCAATTTTACATCAGAATTAAACAAAACATTAAAAAACACTAAGTATTTGCACTTCATAATCAGAAATATTTGAAAAGTGTGAGAGATTCTCAATTAGATCATCTACTTTAAGATAGATTTTGATAAGCTGACTAAGAGTTGCGCCGCGAAAATCTTGAGAAATTTCTATGCGGGATGTCCTTCCTCACGAGAGAGACTAACTCAATTTAATTGAAAATAATTGGGATCGCGGCGATTCGACGACTATTTTGCTCGTTGGCGCAATTCGCGACGATTCGACGATCGCCCGTGGAAAGGCGCGAGTGTGCCGGCGCGAGCATACCGTGGAAATATGTAATATCACGTCTCATTACGTAGTTGAGAAAGCACTTAACGTTATGAAGGGAAATATACGGAGACGAGACAGCACGAAGAGCACATGTACGATCTATATGTGTAGCGATCGCGAGCGACGCGTATGCCTTCCGTATTCACGGTACCATCGCCGTCGGATGCCGGAGATATTTCAACGGGAATAGCACTTTAATACCTTTTAACGTTTAGAAGCGGCCGCATTTTCAAATCGACACGGGAGCGCTCCATTTCCACGACCGATCGCGTTGCGTGGCGCGAGTTCTCGGCAACTTTCGGACATCGGAAGATCGCTACTCGACGAGGGTTTTTACCTCGCAGAAGCACGCGAAGAAAGAATCATCGTAGACCCGGGAAATCTCCCGACATATGTGTGTGTGTGGGAGAGACGTCGGATTGAGTATCGTCTCGACAGCCGCAAATTACGTTGCGTGAAGATTACGAATTCCATCGCGAAAAACTGCCGGCGGATCTTCCTTTTTAGTGTCCAAAGTACGGCAGCTGCACCCTGATGAGATTCCCCGGCCGAAGTCAGGGGAAGTTAAATTTGGTGAGAGGAAGATGTCGGGGAAAGTTTCCATTCCGCCGTCTATAAAACGGCAAAAACATTTTCGTGGCGAGTCACGGGAGTCCTAGCGCTTCCGATTCGCGGAGCGGCTAATCTACGAAATTGATTTAACTTTCCGTAATAAAGTCGCTTACGTCGTGCCGATGAAGAAGCGAGCGTTTGTCGCGCTTACGTTATTTCGCACATACAGTTGCACGTACAGTCGATTGCAGAGCGATTTATTACGGAGACATTTCTTCACTGAAGGAAAAGAAGGATTCCGATGAAAGAAGGATTTCGTAACAAGTACCAAAATTTAGTAGTTCTTGTTCAATTATTCAGTCAAATAATGCGGGC